GTTTTGTCAGTTCATTATGCCTTTGGAAGAAGCTATCAGTCTAGAGAATTTCCATTTAAATTAGCACAACAGCTCAAATAGTTGACTCTGCTTCTACAATAAATGCATTATTGTTCATCTTTCCAGTAAGCGTGAACAATTCATAAAAATCACCTTTGAGTGAGCTTTATTCCCTCCTTTCACTACTGTGAACTGACAAAAAAGTGCAATATATCAGACAAATCGGTGATTTTAATCAATGATAGAACTGTCACTTGCACAACGGGCTTTTGCGAATGCTTTGATGGAAATGAACGTTGAATTTGGTGAAATAACTCAAACCAACAAAGATGGAGCATTCGGTATTACTTAACCTATTCCTTTTTATTTTGTGCCAATCATGAGGTAGCCTATTTAAGGTCAATGCTTGCGTGAATTTGGAAAACTAGTGTGTGAACTGGAAAACGAGCGCTTGAATGTTATCGATAAAGCAAAATATCATTGCTTGGAGCCTCTTGAAAGGTATTTGGTCTTTTGATTTAAATAGTTCAATTTTCTGAATTTGTGGATATGCATCTATTATGCTTCCACAACTGTAAGAATCATCTCGTATTTTTGTGACTTCTTTCTTCTTTTCACGTGATGGCTCATCAAACATGACAGTTTCAGTTGGGACTTCTATGGTACCAGCCGACTTAATCTTTCTTCAAAGACACCAGATATTAGTCGTAAAGGTTGCGTCGTTGTAACCTGCAACTTGCAATAATGTCTTTAGAATGCAAGTGAAAATGAAAGTCATCAAAAAGGGGGAGAAGAAATTTGGCGTTAAAATATAATTCATTAATTTTTCCATGATGGGTCAAAATTAGTTCCGGAAAGTTCGTTCTTTGAGGAATATCTATCGAAGTCTTTACCTGCACTTTAATTTATTAAGGCTTCGATGTGAAGAAATAGCACGGGTCTTGTATGAGGAAAAGAGAATATATGAAAAAGAAAGTGCGAAGTATTATCAGAATCTTGAGAAGCATCTTCGTTTGAGTACGGTAACGCTAATTTTAAGCTCTTCTATTAGACGTTACTGTACTTAAACGTATAAAATTCTTGTCATAGTTCAGATTAAAAACAGTGATTTTCGCGAGGCCGATGCACAGATGGAAAGGCAACGTCAATGTTTTTGGAATTCTTCCTTGCAGTATGTCACGGCGATACAATCATTGCAAGAGAAAATGAAGTTTGAATTTGTGGAAACTCTCACGACATTTTTGTACGATTGGTTGAATTTCTATCATGTTGGTAAGTTTCACACTCATTATTCATTTAGAGATCCCTCTTGGTAGGAAACAATGGAAGAAAGTTTAAATCAAAGTTTCTTATAATTAAATCAACTATGGCGTAGAAGTAGGTTGATGCATAATTATCCGGACTTTTTTTGCGTGCTTGTATCTTTTTTGTTTTGAAAGCTTTTT